CACTGGATACACTCCAGCAAAGTTGATGTTTGGTCGGGAACTTCGGTTGCCAGTGGATCTATTAACATGCTCGTCCTTTCAGCCGTGGGGGTGTTAAAAGTTACGGCCAATCCCACTATTCATTGGTAAAAGAGTAACCAAAGAGTGTGCATGCAAAATCGGAAGATTCATGATTCTCGGCCTGTTACTGTAAAAAAATGCGCTCAGATCTTTGGGGCCGTGTGTATGCGCGAAATTCAAAAACAAACAAACACCTGTGAATAAGAATAAAAAACATTGAAGTATCAGACTTTTCATTTATTAATTTCTTCTACCGTTTTCATGACTTCAAAGGTTACTCTTCAGGTAATAGTTTTACTAAGAATTTATAACAAAAACGTACAAATACCACTTTTCAAGTAAACATAAATAATCTAAATTAAATACATATATTTTCCAAATGTACAAACATATAATACAGTTAACATATAAATCAAGTACATTACAAATGTTCATGAATAAATAAACTTAGTCAATATACTTTTTAAAAATTAAGTCTTATTCTAATAGAAATGCAATTTATTTACATTCCCCAAAAGGGAACACATGAAAATATGGTTATATTAAATTTTCTCAAGATACATTCATTAAAATGTTTACTGGCATGTAGTGGGCTTGTTTCAGGATATCTAACAAGGAACGTATGTAAACGTATCCTTAATCTTAAATTATCTGTTTCACTAATATATAGTTCACCACAATTTACACATTGTAAAAGATATATTACGTTTTTAGAATTGCAATTAAATGAGTTATTGACAACAAAACAAAATTTCTTTGTTATTGTTTTGGTAGCTTTAATATAACCTAAATTACATAAAGCACAGTTCTTTCTGTTACAAATGAAGGTGCCTTCTTTCGAAAAATCTCTTCTTTTTTAAATTTTTTTTTCAATAATCTATACAGATTTTTAGGTTGTCTTCTTGATAAAATAAGTTTATTATTTTTGAATACATCTTTTAATTTTTGATCTACAATTGGTTTCAATTGTGTATTAATAAATGAAATATCGATATGTGTATTTGGACAATGAGTCACAACAAAAGATATAATATTCTCTTTAGATTCACTAATGCCTATTTAAATACTTTCTATCAAAAACGTTATTCTCAGCAATTTCAAAATCACTTGATATAACTTTCTATTGACAGTAACACTGAACTAAAAATTTGTTTGGTATTAGTAATCTATTACCTCTGGTTTCTTCATTGGAAACCAAATCATATAATCTACTTGCAAGATTTGCAGGAATATTTAATTTTATGTGTTTGCTTTGATTACTAAAAAGAATCTACATATTGATGAGAATTTGTGATATTTATAAAAAATATCAGTTACAATTTCCTTTTCTGGTGAAACACATCCAAAAATGATAAGCTTCTATTATTTCTTTCGAAGGTAAAGCCCCCCCCCCCAATGGCACAGCGGTATGTCTGCGGACTTACAACGCTAGAAACCGGGTTTCGATACCCGTGGTGGGCAGAGCACAGACAGCCCTTGTGTAGCTTTGTGCATAATTAGAAACAAACAAACATCGAAGGTAAACTTAATTTCCTTGTTTAATGAATTTCAAATTCCAACAAATTTATTAATATCTTGAGTATCTTTCCATATTGCAAAACAATCGTCTAAAACTCTTTTTTTTTTCAAAACTTTTTCAGGTGAGCTACAAAATTATCTTCAAAATAATTAGGTAGTATATTATATAATTGTAATTTGAAAAATTCGATAGTTATGTTAGCATAAGCTGGAACGACTTTTTGTGCCCATTTCTGTACCAGATATTTGGTGAAAGATTTGCTTCTCATAAGTCAAAAAACAATTTTTTAAGACTATGTCTAAATCTTTTAAGATAAAACTTTTATTAAACCTGAGATTAATTCTTTATAATTATCTAAAAAACTTTTCACAGCTTTAAGTCCTTAACGCCACTTTAAGTAGGTTGTAGTAAGAAGGCTGAAGCAATTGTGAAACCGTGAAAACAATTACTAAGATTTATAGAAAAGAAAAAGTAAGTAAAAGTATGAAATT